TCTCTCTCTCTCTCTCTCTCTATATATATATATATATATATATTGATGAGTAATAATTTTAAAAAGTTTAATTAACTACGTATAACCCCCAGAACCTGCCAATCCAATAAGTTTCATTCCACCTCATCCATCTTTTCAGGTTACTTTCCCAGTAACGGAAGATGAAGTTTCTTTCCATAGAGGTAGTATTGTATCTATAACGGAAGATGAAGTTTCTTTCCATAGAGGTAGTACTGTATCTACATCATCCAGTAACCAAAATCTGTGCCATTGAACTTCTCGATCCCCCATACCATCACTTTATCTCAGCCCATCGTTCTTCCTTAGATCCGAAATCATGGCTCTGATACCAGTTGTTATGAAAAAACGACAACAATAAAGTGAAAAATGGAACTCGAAAAATTGCACGTAGAAAATACCTGAGCGACACACATTTTCGTGGCTCGGAAAATTTGACTATTGATAGAAACCAGCAGAGCGGTTGGTGAGAGGCATGTGAGCGATAGGTGCGATGTGGTAGCTGAGCGGTGGGCAGGAGGAAGGTGAGCAGTAGGTGCGATGTCGTAGGCGAGCGGTAGACGCGATGTCGTAGGCGAGCGGTAGATGAGATTCTTAATTAGTAAACAAATTAAATTTTGGTGGACCGGGTCTCCACATTAACCAACACTAAATATGTCTTTTGTAGCAAACTAGACTGTTATAACTATAAACAACAACTTCTGTAGCCAATTGCAACTGTTATAACCTCTAACTATAACTTTTGTAGTTAACTAGACTAGTACAGCCACTAACTACAACAATTATAGCCACAAACTACTATTTCACAACCAAGTAATCATCATCTAGCAATTGTGATCCAATTAAAGTTAGTGTAGTCCAAACTAGATTTTCACGATTGTTATCTAATCATCTCAAAGTCGTTGTAATATTAACATAATCTTATAATCTCATATTCTCTAATTGAGGTAAAGAGTGATATTTTGTACCATTGATTATACAGTCAATTATTTAGATTGAATTGGGTTTTCTATTTTTTTTTTTCTGTTTTAAGTGATTTCTAAATAGCAATAATTTGTTTTTGTTTATGTAACCATCTCAAATAAAAATGCCGACCAACTGAGAAGTAACTAAGAGAGAGAGAGAGAGAAATGCAAAAGCATACATACAACTTAAATAACTAGATGAAGAAAAAAATCATAAATGAAAAAGATTAATTTTCTAATTTCTAAACACAAATCTCTGAAATATTCAGCTTCTGGAATTAAAAATTCCAGATTTTTTTACAAAAAAAAAAATTAAAAAAAAATCTCATCTAAATGCCAAACTACTTCGGAAGCTTCTTCCTTGATCTCCCATTCTCATGCGATTCCTTCGGCAGATCACGCAGCTCGATAATCTGTATTTGCCGTCGCTTCTTCCAATTTTCAATTCGTTGATATCCTTCCTGAAGCTTCCTCTTTGCAATCTCCAGCCTTGACGTTTCTGAAGCCTCCTTAGATCGCTTTCTCTCCACTCCAGCACTTAAATGACTGCTCTGTTTTTGTTCAGAAGTTAGCTTCGGCGAGCCGCCATGCCTAGAATCAGTTGAAGAGGATTTCATGACGGACGACTCGGTTGCATTCTTTTTAGCAATCCGTTCATCTACCAAAACTTTCCAACTTTTAATAAGACTCAGAGCAATCTTGCGAATTTGGCCAGCTCTGTCTTTTCTCAGATCATTTACGGTTCTTCCAATCTCAGTCGCCATCAGAGTTTCCACAGACAATTGCATGAGCTCCAGACGCTTTAGAGATTCATACAAGACTGAATCAGATTCATTTTCATGGTTGCAAAGGACTTCCTTTATCCTCATCACCTCTCCATCTGTCTCACTCTGTTCAGTTCTGCCACCCTCATCGCCATTGTTAAGGGCAGTGCAAAGCTTCTGAACAATCAGATCCTTCCTGACCATAAACTCCTTGGGGTGATCCGTCGCCGCTACCATGATGGCTCCGTCGATCAACTCAAAAATATCAGATTTTGCGCAGCTGAAAAACTTCCTCCACCAGTCCAGCGACTCTTTCGCGTCCGCCGTCGCCATTGCCGCAAACCAAGATCGCTTTTTTTCTGCAAAGGATTTGCTCTTACGCACTCACCGTTCGGAAATGATGAGAGGGAGCAGAATAATCCGATCAAAATGTTATCTTTTTTAATAACGATCAATGACTGAATTTTCTGAGTAGTTCCACAGTATTTGGAGGGATTAACAAACTAGCCGAAATAAATGGTCATCATGCCCGCCACCTTTTTAGAGGAATTTTTCTAAAAAATAAAGAGGGTGGTATATTTGTAAATATCAATGTTTCACGTGGTATGTATTATATTTTTATATTTTATCATATATTTCAAGAGGTATCATTTTTATTAATTCACTAAATCATTTATATATATATATATATATATAGTTCAGGAAATTATAGCATCATAATCATTTTATTGGATTTGACTTGAACTCAATATAGCTTGCATTGAGTGGATAGAATAGTTAATGGTGCTCCAGGAATTGATAAAAACTTCTAAATACAATTAGGCTCACCAAACAATCTGTTCCGTATGTAGATTTTATTATTGTTATTATCATCAAGATCATATAATTATGAGTTCAATAACTCAAATGTTACAAAAAATGCTTGTAATCAAAGGAATAAATATGAACCGTTCGACGGAGTGTTTTGAGAACCTGACTAAATTGACTGAAACAATCATATTGTCCTCAATCACCCAAAGTTGTCGTCGACTACCAGAGATTCTCGTCAGCCATAAGAAGGTGTTGTTGTCTAACAGTCATTATCGACCACAACTAATAACTATTGCAACCAACTATGGTTGTTGTAGCCACCAACTACATTTGTTGTAACACGACTATGAATATTATAACCCCTAAATACGCTTTTTGTAGCAAACTACGACTGTTATAACTATAAACTACAACTTATGTAGCCAATTGCAATTGTTATAGCCTTTAACTATAACTTTTGTAGTTAACTAGACTAGTATAGCACTAACTACAACTATTATAGCCACAAACTACTATTTCGCAGCCAACAACAGCTATTGTAATCATCATCTAGCAGTTGTGATCCAACTATAGTTTGTGTAGTCCAAACTAGATTTTTACAATTGCATTTATCTAATTATCTCAAAGTAGCTGTAATTTTAACATAATCTTATAACCTCATCTTTTCTAATTGAGGTGAAGAGTAACTTTTTGTACCCCTGATTATACAGTGCATTATTTTAACTGGATCGAGTTTTATTGTTTTTTTTCTTTTTTAAGTGCTTTCTATGTCTTATACGTCTTATCTGTACGCTGCAAAATTATTGACTTCTTGATTTATATAGAATCAAGAAGTGAATAATAGCACTTCTTACGTCAAAAGATTGTATATAATATCTAATTTTTTAGAAGTGAAATACAAATTTACATTCATAAGTTTAAACATGAAATTGCTATAAATATCAATATCAAATTTAAGTGGTTCAATATCCCGTGTCCGAAAGACGGTACAGCTCAACAACATAGGACCTGATAAAAGGATGCGAAACTAATTAGTATCTCCAAAAGAGAAAAAAAGATTATCGTGGGAAAGTGAACTTTGAATTCTTTGAAGACATAATCTCGATTTTAATCGATAGTTTTTTTAAGTGATTTCGATCGCTTAAGAAGTAATTAATTTTAGAGGTTTACGCCTATAAGAAATCAGCAACCCAGATAATCTAAATCTCACTTAGAATAAACATGGGAAATATATGTTTGTATTTTACAAACAAAACAAATATGCTAAATACCTTAATTTGAATAATTGAACTCATTAAAAACTAATATTTTCATCTTTCAAGATAATATATTACTTATAATGTCGTGTTCGAATAGTTAAATATTTGAGATCTAATTTGTCTTATTTTGAAAATCTCAAAGCCATACAAAAATAAAACAAACAATAACTTTTTAAAGGAAAACTTTATATAAAGAAAAAACAAGAGGTAATCATTTCAATGACATTAAGGACGAGTTTGTTGCAACTGCAGTTATTTCAACAAGCAGCTGAAAAGCTATCGTTGGGAGAAATTGCTACGAGGTAATTGCTATCGTTGAAGTTGTACATCATGTCTCCCATCTCTAAGGTACATCAATTTCATAGAAAAAGTTCGGGGATTTACTCAGAAGAGAACCATAAATCACCCTCTCCTTTGTGTCCACCATCTTCAATCAATTGCGGTAGTATTTCCATAGTAATAGAAAAAAACAATTACATTCGGTGAACCACACTTCTAGACGAAGGTGATGATCCGACATTTTACCGTACAACGTGATCAAATCATCAATCGTGTTCAGATGTGCGTGCGGACACCAAATATAATAATTTCTCCAATCATAAGTAATCATTCTCAATAAATACATTTACGTTATATGAATCCATAAACTTTTATAATTTAAAATGATATTCGACCACAACTAATAACTATTGCAACCAACTATGGTTGTTGTAGCCACCAACTACATTTGTTGTAACACGACTATGAATATTATAACCCCTAAATACGCTTTTTGTAGCAAACTACGACTGTTATAACTATAAACTACAACTTATGTAGCCAATTGCAATTGTTATAGCCTTTAACTATAACTTTTGTAGTTAACTAGACTAGTATAGCACTAACTACAACTATTATAGCCACAAACTACTATTTCGCAGCCAACAACAGCTATTGTAATCATCATCTAGCAGTTGTGATCCAACTATAGTTTGTGTAGTCCAAACTAGATTTTTACAATTGCATTTATCTAATTATCTCAAAGTAGCTGTAATTTTAACATAATCTTATAACCTCATCTTTTCTAGTTGAGGTGAAGAGTAACTTTTTGTACCCCTGATTATACAGTGCATTATTTTAACTGGATCGAGTTTTATTGTTTTTTTTCTTTTTTAAGTGCTTTCTATGTCTTATACGTCTTATCTGTTCGCTGCAAAATTATTGACTTCTTGATTTATATAGAATCAAGAAGTGAATAATAGCACTTCTTACGTCAAAAGATTGTATATAATATCTAATTTTTTAGAAGTGAAATACAAATTTACATTCATAAGTTTAAACATGAAATTGCTATAAATATCAATATCAAATTTAAGTGGTTCAATATCCCGTGTCCGAAAGACGGTACAGCTCAACAACATAGGACCTGATAAAAGGATGCGAAACTAATTAGTATCTCCAAAAGAGAAAAAAAGATTATCGTGGGAAAGTGAACTTTGAATTCTTTGAAGACATAATCTCGATTTTAATCGATAGTTTTTTTAAGTGATTTCGATCGCTTAAGAAGTAATTAATTTTAGAGGTTTACGCCTATAAGAAATCAGCAACCCAGATAATCTAAATCTCACTTAGAATAAACATGGGAAATATATGTTTGTATTTTACAAACAAAACAAATATGCTAAATACCTTAATTTGAATAATTGAACTCATTAAAAACTAATATTTTCATCTTTCAAGATAATATATTACTTATAATGTCGTGTTCGAATAGTTAAATATTTGAGATCTAATTTGTCTTATTTTGAAAATCTCAAAGCCATACAAAAATAAAACAAACAATAACTTTTTAAAGGAAAACTTTATATAAAGAAAAAACAAGAGGTAATCATTTCAATGACATTAAGGACGAGTTTGTTGCAACTGCAGTTATTTCAACAAGCAGCTGAAAAGCTATCGTTGGGAGAAATTGCTACGAGGTAATTGCTATCGTTGAAGTTGTACATCATGTCTCCCATCTCTAAGGTACATCAATTTCATAGAAAAAGTTCGGGGATTTACTCAGAAGAGAACCATAAATCACCCTCTCCTTTGTGTCCACCATCTTCAATCAATTGCGGTAGTATTTCCATAGTAATAGAAAAAAACAATTACATTCGGTGAACCACACTTCTAGACGAAGGTGATGATCCGACATTTTACCGTACAACGTGATCAAATCATCAATCGTGTTCAGATGTGCGTGCGGACACCAAATATAATAATTTCTCCAATCATAAGTAATCATTCTCAATAAATACATTTACGTTATATGAATCCATAAACTTTTATAATTTAAAATGATATTTTGATCTTTGTTTTGGGATGATTGCATAAAAAAACACATTTTTATTTATTTTCCACCAACATCATTAACCATTCATGTAAAAAACAGTTCCCAAAATCCCCCTTTCTTCCCCAAATCAACCAAAACAATCAAAATGGGCTGCTAAAATCAACCGAATCCAACTCAAATAAAGCAACCAAAACACAAATCAAAACAACGATGAAATCCAGAAAACCATCATCATCATTATTCAACAATAGAAAACGATGATTTCATGAAGCATACAAAACGAATCTCCGCGATCCCCGCCCTAAAAAGGGCAAAAAAAAAACCAAAAAAAAAAAAACCCTAATCTATCCCCAATCTCAGTTATGGATGTTCCCCTGCGTGTAGATGTAATCAATGTGAGCCGCAAGAGTTCTCCTCATCAAACATTCCTCCTCCCCAACTCCATCGCAGCTCAATTCCAGCATCCCTTCATCGAAACCCTAGGAAAATCGCGCCGTTTCAGAAACAGAGAAAGAAGAGATGAGAAGATGAAATAGCAGATGATTTCGTTAGCTAATCACTTGAACCGAGCCGGGCTTTTCCACAGGAAGAGTTCTTGCAGCATGCGTGAAGGAGATGGAGAAGATGAGGACAATGGAGAGGAAGAAGAACGCTGCTTTCGCCATTAATGGCTCAGGAAGAACTTTTCGGGGGTAGAGAGAGAGAGAGGTGATGGAAGAAATATTCCCTCAGTACTAAAACTTTTCGGGGGTAGAGAGAGAGAGAGGTGATGGAGTTTATAAATAGTGGGAATGAGGTGGGTTTTGGTGCTTTTAATAATTACTAAACCTTTTTAATTAAAATATATTTTATGTAATTTTAGTTTAAATGATTATTTTTTTGGGCTTTTCTTCTTTATCATAAAATTACTATAATAAACATCTGATATTTAGATTTTCATTATTATAAATGTATCACTCAATTTTTTTATGGCATTTTAAAAATATTATTACTATTTATTTTTTTTTGGTGCATTACAATTTTTTTTTTTGTATAAAGTAACACCAAAGTGTAGAGTTGTTAACAAGCCGATTTTGAGTATGTCGATCACGTTAGGTTTGATTTCGAGTCAGTTTAGTTTGAAATTGAATCAAGCTCAATCCAGCTTGATATCAAAACAAGCTCCTTGAAATCGAAACAAGATGGTTCAATTTGAGTTATTTGAATCTGTTCCAACTCGCAATCGGCTCATAGCTCGTTAAATTTGATTTTCTTTAACATCATATATAATTTTTATAAATAAGAAATATTTCAAGCAGATCTCAAGCTATTTCAAGTCAATCCTCATATAACTTGAAATCGGCTTGAAAAAAATTTGATCTAAGCTTTTAATAATAACTTGGCTCATTTATTTCGATCTGATCTTAATTTGTGCTAAAACTTAAATCAATTTTCAAGAGAATATATCAATATTTTTATGATATGAAAATATGTAAATGCACATATATGCAAATTTAAATATGAAAATTTAAATGTTAGATATATAAATACCTAAGAATTGTGAAATATGTATGTAAATGCACATATTTGCTTTCAGCTTTAAATATTTATAAATATACCAAGAGCTTCTAGAAATCTAATAAAAATTATTTTTTTCTTCTGATAGACGGAATCTTCTCATAAAAAAAATTAATCAACCGGTCCTCACAATTTAATTCTTAATCCATAATTAATTAGTTAATTAGTACCCGAACAGTCATAATTAACTAGTTAATTAGTATCCGAACAGAGATTTGAATATATTAAGTTGTTCGACAAAGATTTTGTTCCCAAAATTATTAGGGTCTCTTACGTACGAAAAAATATTACATCAGGACTCCTAACATAAAGCTACGTTCGGGTTGAAATATCCGGCTGTGTTATGTGAATATTTCATTTGCGTTATTTGTAAAAATGATGTGTTATTCAAGTATTATTTGATGTTATTCGATTATTTTGCTGATTTATTGGAATATTCCCCTTCGTTACTTCGATTAGCCGAATATTCCACTCCGAACGTAGTTCTACATTAGGAGTCCATGTAATATTCCAATCCGAACATAATTCTACATTAGGCGTTAGATATATTAATACATAGGAATTAAATAGTAATTATGTTAATCTTCATAATTATATAATAATATATTGTATTTTCAAGACTTAGAAAACTGTGGACATTTCCAAATGTATAGCAGTTGATTTCAGCCCACCAAAACTGATTTTATGTAAGATGATAAATGAGAACATTTTTTTTGCATTTTTTTAATGAAAAATACGTATTGAACCTGTTAAATTAAAAAAAAAATCATTTATAATTTATTTATCATAGAAAATTATGATGTAGTCCAGCATTTTTTCAGATATTATGCAGCCCTTTCATACATAAATATAAAAATATGGTAATTTTGTAAGTATGAGAATCATGCTTTATTTCAATTATAAAAAAAGATTACAAATTAATACTTCTATAGTATTGGCCTAAGTTTGTAAATTTTTTTTCTATTTCTCATTAATTTAGTAAAACTTGGAGGACAAACAAGGCTATCAGTTTAGGGTCTGTTTGGGGCAGCTAAAGCTTATCCGACTTATCCAAAAAATCAGTTTATTTTGATAATCCACTGATCAACAATTTATCTTGATAAGCTGACTAGTTGTTTGGTTAGTGCGTTTCAAAAACAGCTGATTCTAGATAAATGATCATTTTGTCTGTTTTGGATAAACTGTTTAGTTGTTTGGCTTGTGCGTTTGGAAAACAACTGATGCAAGTACAATGATAAATAGAAGTAACTACAAGATTCTCATTATTTCTCATGACAAAAGAGGTACCTCTAAAATGTTCTTCCAAAACTAAACTGAAATTGTCTCTTAACATCTTCAACAACTATTATAGCTATTGTTCCAAACGTAAGATCATCAACTGCTGTTTATAAATACGCGGAATCCAACCAAAATGATTATATTGCAGAAAAGGCGTACAAATTTAAAACTAAACGACTTTCATATTCATCAAAATGTCAATCCCCTCAAAACAACTACACCGCGCAAATCAAATCATCTCTCACAATTCTAAATGCTAGATAAAAAAAACACAGTAAAAGGATTTCAGATCTAACCTTCTGCAGACAACAAAAAAAAAAGAGAAAAGTGAGACAAACTTCCTATTGAATGGTGAAAATTAATCATTTATGCATTTGTCTATTTGATCAAGTGATTATGAAGTGCAAAGGCTAATTTTTTTTTGATTTTTTGTAAGAGTATAAAATTGATCAGTCTCCCATCCAGATGAACATCATAGAGTAGGTCAATGTCTGGATCAGGCAGCACATCCATGAACTTGCTGCACCTACGCAATAATGATACAAAGGACAGAGATGCCCTATACTGAAGATCAAACACGATGATATCCTTTGGGAATGCACCATGACAACGTGCCTCCATCTCAGGGAGAAACAAAACCACACATAGAACTGAGGGAAGGCTGCCAGTGAAGAGTAGCTGAGGAGGGACAGTAGGGAGAGGAAATTTCTGACATATAGGACGGGAATTTCAGCACCGACAAAAGGAGGTTCAACTGTAAGAAAGGAGATTCAACTATACCTTCGTGACAAAGGAGGTCCTGCGGCTAGGTAACTTTTATTCGCCATCAACATAAACTTTTAATAAACAATCCCCAAAGGATTAATATTACCCAAAATAAAATATAGTCATTTATCCACTCAATGTTTTGCCTTTGGTTCTAGAAATTGGAAAACAAAAATCTATATATTTTCTTAAAATATATAAGTCTAATGCATTATAATAAATTAATTTCTAACATTTTTCAAATGCAAAATTATGTATCGTATTAATCTTCAATTATTAATGATTAAATCTTCTTGATATAACAAAATAACTACACTAACCACCACAGTTGAAAAAAATTAAATTGAGAAATATTTCTTTTTTTGTTGGGCAATTAGTAAAGTGCATTTGTTGGGCAATTCGTAAAGTGCACAGTGCTTGGGATGGATGGATGTTGGATATTTATGTTTGTCTATGTGCACGTCCCACACATTTTAGTTCAACCATATAAAAGACTAACCACACCACGTACTCAGATCAGTTGGTCGGGCATCTGGTTGTCAGTTGTAAGTCCTCTTTCGATTCCCTTCGAGAGTAGGGTGTGGTACTCGAATTATAGACGCATGAGGGATTGTTAGGACTCGTATCTATCTATCTATGTATATATA